GTGCACAACTAGCCAAACCATGCCTCCTAAGCAAACCATGTATCGTCCACGCTCAATGGTCAATGGAGGTCGTATGTGGTTTGCTTAGGAGGCATGGTTTGGCTAGTTGTGGCTTTTTTCTCATTGGGTTGGTTCCTTGGAGGCATGGTTGTGTCCTTGAAGAGATCAAAGAAACAACAAGATTAGCAAGGTTTTACCAAAAACATACTTGATCAAAACCACCAAATATGGTTAATAGAAGGAACCAAGCCTATCATACATCACCCAATCATCACTGGATCATACTCACGTTGCAAGTATGAACAATAGACTATCAAATTTGGCAAACCCGTTTTGCTTAAAAACAGGAAGCAAATTCGAACTCTATTGAAGCCTAAAACTCAAGGTTGTGAAATTTTTGCTTCAAAGAGAAAAAAATGTATGAGAAAAGAGAGATTGAAGTTCATACCTGTTGGGATCGAATATGAGTGTGCTAAAATCGAAAACAAGACTTGAAAAATCACTAAAATTTGAGTTGAAAGATTAGACTTGTTGTTTTCTCAGGAAAAGAGGAAGGAGGAGAGAGAAGGGGAATAATTTCTTTTTTTCTTTTTCCAACTAAACAGGAAACTGAAATCGAAGTTAACCGGAATCAGATTACAAACCAGGCAAAACTGATTATTGCTTAAAATTAAACGCCTGATTATTGGTAAACTATAAAACCATAATCTAGCCAAACAAATGCAAAGAACTCGTGTTGATGAAGCTCAGACTAACAGCAATCAAATATATAAATGTTACATTACTGCGTTGAGAAGTAATCACTAGAAAATCAACGTAAATAACTTTCAAGGGAAGATTCTTGAGGATACATAGTTTTAAGAAAGCTTTTGTCCAACATATTAAAGACCATGCTTATTGCCGAAGCTTCTCCACATAACCCGCAATTCCTCATTTCTTTGATGACTTCTGATGATTCAGCTTTGTCACCATCTCTAAGTCGTGCCCTAATCCATTATCTGAGCCAAAGCTTTCTCTAGCTTCCCATTATTACAAAGACCATCTAACTGAATGTTGTATGTCATAATAGGCAGCACAAGGCACACCACAAGAAACCATCTGTCTGAAAACTTCTCAGGCATTCTCACATTCTCCAACTTGAAAAAAAAAATAACCCTTGGATAAGAATGTTGCAAAAGTGATTGTATCCCAACCAACCCTCTTTGAGACATTTAATGAAAAAGTTTCATATCATCCTCTACTCTCTTAGACTTGCAAAATCAGGGAGACAGTCTTTGCTAACCATGAACTCAATAACATTTGACAGGCCTCATCTAGGCGATTGTGAATGCAAAACCCATTGAGCAGTGATATACATGCAAAATCACATTGTTCCCTCACACGAATCCCGATACACTCAAAACAGAGTAGCATTCAGAACCTAAAACATGTAAATCAAAAACCAATGTCTCCTCGCGGGGTTTCTATCCTAGTTTCCTTTACTTACTAAACAAGGAGACAAACAATAAAAGCCAAAAAAATCATGACCATATAACATATTTCGGAAGGTGTTAACCAAGAATAAAAACAAACAAAAAAAGATTTATATAATAAACAGGTTTGGTAGATATGTTTTATGTCACGATCATCATCGATAGCACACACGAGTTATATTAAGATTTAAACATACCAATAGCACACACATAATTCTTAAACTGATATATATTAAAAAGGAAAGGAAGAAAGAAGCAAGATGACAATCCACAAACGGTGCTTGTGAGGTCTATAAGGGGGCGAATGATACGATATGGATTTCCTTATCCCCCATTGCAGACGCGACAGTGACAATAACTTTCCTACCGAGCTTGAGTCCAGTCCTTATCTGTTTAGTTTTACCAAAAAAAAAAAGAAAGAAACCACAGATTGTTTTCAGTTCCAAAGACGAAAGAAAACAAGTGAATTTTGTTGTGTGTATAGTATGACAAGAAAAATAACCAGATTCCTCTAGCAATGATCAGTGGGAAGCATGACATCTTCCTTAATGGTGCCATCATCAGCAACAAGTGTAACCTGTAATGATCAGAAGCAAGTAAAAATATCAAACAAANAAAAGAANATTGCATGGATTGGACTGNTGGGGAAACAAGTGANGAGNTATATGATGAACAAGAAGACATACAATCTGAGACTCCTCACAGACACGAGTACACCAGTAATCAACATAGGTCACAATTGGAACCTGGCAAAAGAGAGAAACAATCATACAACAAGACCAGACCCAATAAGTGGAAAATATTAGAGATAGTTTGTGACATACCTCATAGTCTGCGTCAGGGAGAAAACTACAAACTCTCTGGGTACCAGAGAAGAAATCAAGGGAGGTAAAACGTATCATGCCGCTTGATGGATCCACAATTTTACGAAGCACCTAATCAAAATCAAAAGCTAGACTTGTTAGATTCCGAGCAAAATCCGAAACGGAATAGATAACATTCTAAACTAGAATCATGATAAGATGCA